GAGACCGAAGGCTTAACATTGAAGTTTACAGAAAACCCACTCACCCAGATCAATATTTACATTTTGATTCCCACCACCCACTGGAGCACAAAATGGGAGTCATCAGAATCCTATACCACCGAGCTGAATACTATACCACCGAGCCTACCAGCAAAGATGGGAAAGAAAAAGAATGAAAACACATCAGCCGGTACGCTCTCATAGAGAGGGGCTCCTCCCGATGCCGTCGGCCAAACAGTGTCGACTGGCGGCCCCCAGGGGAAGGGCCTTCTCTGTGGGGGCACCTACTATCTGGAATGAGCTCCCCTCGGAGATACGTAGGATCCCGGACCTGCGCACTTTCCACTGCGCTCTAAAGACCTTTCTATTTCAGCAAGCTGGCCTGGCCTGACCTTTTCCCCCTTTTAAATTGAAATTTTAAATTTGTTCTAAATTTTTTGGGATGTTTTAAATTGTCTTGGGCTTAAGTATTTAATTTGGTTTTATTTCTGCTCTTAACTTTCGTATCTATGTGTTTTATTTTGTGCCTGTTCACCGCCCTGAGTCCTTCGGGAGTAGGGCGGTATACAAATTTGAATAAACAAACAAACAAACATAAACAACATCAAGGAAGCCCTCGGAATATATGGCTACCCCAAGTGGGCCTTCATCAAATCTCAAAAAAGACCCTACAGGAGCTCTTCTGTAACAGACAATGACAAGAACAATAACGCTGTCATTCCGTACGTTGCAGGCATATCGGAAAAGCTCAGGAGGATCTTCGGCCAACGTAACATATGTGCACCCTTCAAACCCCAGAATACACTAAGGCAGAAGCTTGTCCACCCCAAGGATAAAACACCCAGACAGAAACTGAACAACGTGGTATATGCAGTACAATGCAGTGAGCCATGTGCAGATCTGTGTATTGGGGAAACAAAACAGCCACTTCACAAACACATGGCAAAACATAGGAGAACAAACCCATCAGTACTAGAGTTAAAAGGGAGGGGAGGGGAGGAGAGAAGGGAAGGGAAGGGGGGAGGGGAGGGGAAGGGAAGGGAAGGGAAGGGAAGGGAAGGGATGAAATGAAGAGAAGAGAAGAGAAGAGAAGAGAAGAGAAGAGAAGAGAAGAGAAGAGAAGAGAAGAGAAGAGAAGAAGAGACTTCGAGGTCTTTTAGTCCAGACAAATGGTTATCCAATCTCTTCTTAAAAACTTCAAGTGTTGGGGCATTCACAACTTCTGGAGGCAAGTTGTTGCACAGATTAATTGTTCTGACTGTCAGAAAACGTTGAGAACACAACTGAAGTGAGGAATAGGTTTCTAAAACCATACTCTTCACCGTCTTCCTTACTTCGCTCTAAATACCTCCGCACAGATATCCCCCTTCAATCTTGATGCTGCCGGATCTTTCCGTTCCTCCCGGCCACAGCAGACCGCAGCTTCACGCGTTGCCCAAAAGCAAAATACCATATTTGGCCAATCTCTGCCCCAGCTAAGCAAGAACTGGCCAAGAGGTTCCTGCAAGGAGAGAAAATGTTTAACCCTTCGTGTATAAATAATGTGACAAATTACCCGAGGAACATTTAAACACCTAGTTGTTGGAAAATTAAAGCAGGACAGACCAAAAGATTAGATCCAGCTATTAAGAGCAGGGCAGGACTAATCAATATCTAATAAATGATTCGTTTAGAGCCATGAGAGATGTAGAAAGCTGAGACTTGCAGAGTTAAATGTTTGTTGGAATAATATTTATTTTATTTATTTATTTTATTTTATTTCGAATTTATATACTGCACCTTCTCCCGAGGGACTCAGGACGGTGTACAGCCAGATAAAAACATACAATACAAACATTAAAAACAATTAAAAGGATATATATATATATAATTTGATTTATATGCTGCCCTTCTCCGGAGACTCAGGGGGGCTTACAATGCGTTAAGCAATAGCCTTCATCCTTTTGTATATTTATACAAAGTCAGCTTATTGCCCCCACAACTGGGTCCTCAATTTACCTACCTTAGAAAGGATGGAAGGCTGAGTCAACCTTGAGCCTTGGCGAGATTCGAACCTGCAGTAATTTCAGGCAGCTGGTCTTAATAACAGGGTACTTTAGACCACTGTACTACCAAGGCACTCTCTCTCTCTCTCTGTGTGTGTGTGTGTGTGTGTCTGTGTGTGTGTGTGTGTGTGTGTGTGTGTGTGTGTGTGTGTGTGTGTGTGTCAGTAGAATCACATCCACTCGATTCTGGGCTTTTTTCTTTTCTAACAGCTAGCAAGCTCTTACTGCTAGGTGGGAGACCTAAATAGATCCATTTCTAGCTCGTATAATATAAGTATTATATTATATTATTATATTATAATATAAGTTTTATATAAATTTTATATATATATATATAATATTACCGAAAGTAAAAAAAAATCTTTAATTTCACCCCTTTTGCTCTGATGATTTGCATTTACATGACGTGGTAAATTTGATTCATATAACCTTGAATGGGGAGTTTTGATTAATTGATTGATTGATTGACTGTAATTTGTCAAAGAGAAACAAAAACAGGAATAATATAAGAATACAATGACGGGGACGATAGGCACGTTAGCGCGCTTATGCACGCCCCCCTCTATGGACCTCTTAAGTACGGAGTCAAGTCCAAGGAAGTCAATTTGTGACTGAAACTGTGAAAAGCTTTCCGTGTTATGTAAATCCAGCTGTTTGTCGACTTTGTGTTGAAAGTGGTCCATGAGCCTAGTTCGAATCTCGCCAAGGCTCAAGGTTGACTCAGCCTTCCATCCTTTCAAAGGTAGGTGAAATGAGGACCCAGTTTGTGGAGGCAATAAGCTGACTTTGTATAAATATACAAAAGTATGAAGGCTATTGCTTAATGCATTGTAAGCAGCCCTGAGTCACCAAAGAAGGGCGGCATATAAATTAAAGCAAAACAAAAAACAAAAAACAAGGGCAGGCCACATGCACAGGGCGTATGTGCGCAATGCATTTTGGGGGTTGGGGCGCACGCACGCTTTGGGCACTCAGTCCAGAAAAGGGGTCTGCAACATTAAACACTCAAAGAGCCATTTGGACCCATTTCCCACAGAAAAGAAAACACCGGGGGCCACAAAGACTGGTTGGGTGTGGCCAACTCAACGTCACTCACTTCCACCAGTCACATGATCCCCTAGCCACGCCTACCCAGCCAGTCATTAGGACAGAGAACCAGTTGTGAAAAAACACCGGGAATCACAAAACCCTTTTGACATCTCTCTCTCTCTCCCTCCCTCCTTCCCTCCCTCTCTCTCCCTCTCTCTCCCCCCTCCTTGCTGTATCTCTCTATATCTGTCTCTCTCCCACTCTTTCTGTATCTCTCTGTCTCTGCCCTGGTCGCTTCTCCATCCCCCACTGTCACCCTTACCTTCTCAGGCCAGGCAAGGAGTGACTGGGAGGAGATGGAGAGGGGCAGGGCCAGCCAGTGGTGGGATCACTTGACATGGAGCTGCATGCGGCTCTGGAGCCACAGGTTGCTGACACCCGCGTTAATGCATTAACCAGATTAATCACTAGGCATATAAACAGCTATCCTCGCTCCTTGTCCATTCACTCAGCCCGGGTTATCTCCTCCCCAGCGACCAAAAATGGTTAGCAAGGCCTTTGCAACAGTTTGAAAAGCTGTTTTTACTACAAATTGGCTGCAGGAAAAATGCCGCGAATCCATATTAGGCAATATGTGACAGCTCATCGGAGGTACAAAAGTTCTTGCATGATTTTCTTTTCAAAGTGGGCTCGTGTGCAGCTTTTTTTTTTTTTTTAAGCACTGTTGTAAATCACTTAACTTTTTTTAAAGAAAGAGTTAAGATCGACTCTTCTACTATAAAACATAGACAAGGGCCACTTTAAAAAATATTGGTTTGTTGATTAAGACGCTTTAGAGGAAGTCCTCGACTTAAGACCACAACTGAGCCTGAAATTTCTGTTGTTGTTAGAGCAAGACAGTTGTTAAGTGAATGCTGCCCCATTTTGCGACCTTTCTTGCCACCATTGTTAAGTGGATCACTGCCATGGTTAAGCTAGTAACACGGTTGTTAAATGGATCTGGCTTCCACGCTGACTTTACTTGTCAGACGGTCACAAAAGGGGATCACATGACATTGCGACACTGGGACTGTCATAAATATGAGCCAGTTGCCAAGCATCCAAATTTTGATCACGTGACCTGCAACGGTTGTAAGTGTGAAAAACGGTAATAAGTCACTTTTTTTCAGTGCCGTTGTAACTTCATTCTAAAGGAATGGTTGTTAAGTCGAGGACTACCAGTACTGGAAGAACTGGGAACCTAGTTAAATGATGGCTTCCTACAAATCTGTTGTAAGCCATCTGTTGTGACCTACGCTTCCTGAGTCATTAAAACACACGAGTAGTCCCAAAAACCTCTTTTATTGCAACAGCTGTGAATTATGTTCGTTCACAGCTGAGTCCCAATTAGTTGCAAAAAGTCCTTCGGGATAATCACCAATCTTTATCTCCCTTGACACTCTGCCAAAGACCTACTTGGCAAAGCCACACGGAGTCCAGAATCAAACAGAGATGCCGACTGGGAACAGAATTAACAACGTTGCTTTCCTGCAAAGGGTCCACGTGTCTTTGCTTCTCTTTTAAGCCTTATTTATTATTTATTATTTATTAATTCAATTTGTATGCCGCCCCTCTCCGAAGACTCAGGGCGGCTCACAATGAATTTAAAATGGGAGGGGCCAATCATCTCCAGGCCTTACTCCCGAGTCATCCCTTTTGTTTTAACTGTTCCTGCCTTCTGGCAGCTCTGCGCATGCATGTACTAGGAACAGGCTCCTCCTGTTCCTCTGCCTCTCTGATGTCCAGAAGCTTTGGGTCCTAACCTCCTTGGGTTCCCCTCCCACCCAAAAAAAGTTATCCATGACCTCAGGGTATCTTACCAAGATTATACTATTGAGCCATGTAAAAATCACCTGTGAACCTGTATCTTTGCTTGTTGTCTCGTAGGTACCATTAGCGGCGTTGACCATGGAGCCTTCCAACAACTCTACGGTCTCCTCCAACAACAGTGACATGTTCAACAAGTTTGTCCACCTGGACGGAGAGTTATCAGAGAGATTTCATACCTTGTGGATTGTCCTGGTAGTGATCAATACCATCATCTTCCTGATGGGCGTGGTGTTGAACTCTGTAGCTCTCTACGTCTTCTGCTTCCGCACCAAAACGAAAACCACCTCGGTCATCTACACCATCAATCTTATCATCACCGATCTGCTGGTGGGCTTCTCTTTACCCGTCCGGATCATTGTCCACTACAGCGCTAAGGACTGTCACTCCTGTGCCCTCGTCCACATTTTCACCTACTTTGTCAACATGTACTGTAGCATCCTCTTCCTTACTTGTATCTGCATTGACCGGTACTTGGCTATTGTCCAGATAGAAGCTTCGCGCAAGTGGAGGAACCCCAACTACGCCAAATGTATCTGTGCTTTCATCTGGACTTTCGCCACCGTCATCACCTTCTCCATCCTCATCGTGGCCATGAAGTTCTCCTACTGCTGCATTGCGCAGATCCTGCCCCTGATGGTCTGCGAGTACTTCTTCCCGCTGATCATCCTCACGTTCTTCACGACGAGGATCATGTGCGCGCTTTCCAAGCCCACCCTCATGCACCAGAGTCGGGAGAGGCGGATGCGAGCCGTGCAGCTCCTTATCACGGTCCTCATCATCTTCATGATCTGCTTCACTCCCTTCCACGTGCGCCAGCTGGCCATCGCCATCAACCCTGCCATGTCCTACGACCTCAGCTTGGTGGTTTACCACGTGACGGTCACCTTAAGCAGCCTCAACAGTTGCATGGATCCCATTGTCTACTGCTTTGTCACCAACAATTTCCAGTCCACCATGAAAAACATCTTCAGGAAGGCGGAGTTTGAACAAGCCAGCGGAGAGGTCATCAGCGTCAACAAAGGGTCGGGTTCGAATGCACTCATGGCGTTTGCGAACGTGATAGGGAACCCCATGGGGTTGCCTTTGCCCAGCAGCACCCCAAACTCCTAGACTTGAGCAGCCTACAACAAGGACAGAGAAGATGTCTGCTATTCCTTTTGGCTAAGACAATTTTTTTTCCCTAAACATTGTAGCTGGGTTCCAGAATTATTCAAGCTCTCCAATGACACACTCAAAGTTTATTTATGGCAGCTGGTGTTGTCATCTGGGAAATTACTTGGATTGCATTTGGCATTCCAAATTCCTCAGAGTTTCCCCAATTCAGGAATTTGCAGAGAAAGGAACATGCACAGCTCCGTATTTTGCTAGCATAGAGGCCTAGGATAACAAAGTTGGAAGGGATCTTGGAGGTCTTCTAGTCCAACCCCCTGCTCAAGCAGGAGACCTGTACCGTTTTAGACAAGTGGCTGTCCAGTCTCTTCTTGAAAGCCTCCAGTGTTGTTGGGGCACCCATAACTTCTGAAGGAAACCCTTCCACTGGTTGATTGTTCTCACTGTTAGGAAATTTCTCCTTGGTTCTAGGTTGCTTCTCTCTTCGTTTAGTGTCCATCCATTGCTTCTTCTCCTGCTTTCTGGTGCTTTGGAAAATAGTTTGACCCCCTCTTCTTTGTGGCAGCCCCTCAAATATTGGAATATCGCTATCATGAAATCTAGTTTTCACTACACTAGACATACCCAATTCCTTCAACCGTTCTTGATATGTTTTAGCCTCCAGCCCCCTAATCGTCTTGGTTGCACTCTTCTCTGCACTCTTTACAGAGTGTCAACATATTTTTTTTTTAATATATTGTGGTGACCAAAAGCGGATGCAGTATTCCACGTGTGGTCTTACTAAGGCTTTGTAAAGTGGCACTAATACTTCACGAACTCTTGTATCTATTTATGATGATCTGCAGGATCAGGGCAGGGAGAAAATGGATTTTATAGCACCTGTTCTTATACTTCGGACAAAAAAAAAAAGAGAGATGTAAACAAGCTTGCCTTTTTGAAATGAGAATAATTCAGGATCGCTGTCACTCCGGCAAATGGGGTTGGTCGTCTGAAAAGACTTGGCGTCTAACCCCACCGAATGCCAAAGCTATGACAGTAATAAAAGAAACATCTACAGTTGCAATACACTGTACTTTGTGCTGTGAGAGAAATTTATTTCTCAAGAATGTTTTTGATTCCAGAAAAAAGGAACCCGGGATGGCCGACTGAAATTAAACGCTGCATGGAGTGGAAAGCAAATCCCAGCGGGCCATTTCAATGCTTTAAAAAAAACAAAACACACACACACACACAAAAAAACAATGCCAACAAAAGGAAGGGTAATTTTCAGAAAATCTGTTTTTAACTTTCCTTCCCTCCACGGGCCTTAGCTGCGGCTACCGTTCCGATTTCACCTCGTGAAAGAGAGTATAATCTGGGCTAGCCTTTCAAATCTGGGTGGAAGTTATTGTTAGAAAAATAATGAATGGAATGGAATGGAATGGAATGGAATGGAATGGAATAGAATAGAATAGAATAGAATAGAATAGAATAGAATAGAATAGAATAGAATAGAATAGAATAGAATAGAATAGAGAATGGAGTAGAGTAGAGTAGAGTGGAGTGGAGTGGAGAGGAGTGGAGTGGAGTGGAGTAGAGTAGAGTAGAGTAGAGTAGAGTAGAGTAGAGTAGAGTAGAGTAGAGTAGAGTAG